AGCATAAAGGGAACTCTGCCAAGTCCATGAAAATAATGATTTACCTTTTAATTTTCTAAGGAAATGTGGTGATCGTGGAGAACAATATCCAGTCTCCAAATGCAAACTCCTGACACGGGGTTTGTTTTTTAGGAGCTGATTTTGAATGCACTATCAGGATGGAATATTTCATGTCTGGTTTTGATCTTACAAATGTCTTTTCTTCCTCCTCAGTTTGTTCTTAATTAGATTTCTTTACAGTTTCGTGTTTTCTGTGCGTTGTTTCGTCTGCTGCCTGACTCCTGACCTTTAAGGAGAGGATTACTTTTTCAGGAACGTTGTTTTCCTGGGATTTTCTTGTTTTAGAATTAGTCCTGGTTTGTAGAAAAACCCAACCTTTCCTCTCCTTATTTTGTACATAAGATGCCCCAAAAGTTTGGGAATGTGTCATCGTGTCAGACATCGGTGCCGACGATCCCTGTGTTTGTAGCAGATCATCTTTGCTGCATTTCCAAGCTCGTTTTCCTTTGCATTTCCAAACTGTTTTTCCTTTGCATTTTCAAACTTTTTTTCCTTTGCACTTCCAAGCTTTTTTTTCCTTTGCATTTCCAAATTTTTCCTTTGCATTCCCAGACTTTTTTTCCTTTACATTTCCAAGGTTTTTTTCTTTGCATTTCCAATTTTTTTCCTTTGCATTTCCAAGCCCTTTTTTTCTCTTGAACCACAGAAAGATTTATTTTAAATATTGTGCTGTCAGTATTTTTAATTTTATAGGAGCTTCCTCAAAGCTGTGTTTCTAATCCAGGATGTGGAAGGCAAAGCTCAGCCTGATGCACCTGCTGGCTTTTAAAGCTGACTTTTTAAATTTTCCTGATGCACGTTTGCCTTCTTCCTGAACTTTTGCTTGATGAGATTGGAATATTGGCTTCTGATTTCTCCTTTTCACGTCTCCATGAATTCCCTGTGCAGACTTTTCAGTCTCCCAAACTCCCAGGATCAACCTGGTTTATGGAAAATCTCTCAAGCTCTTGCAGTTTATTAAATAACTGAACTATTTTAAAGTCTCTGGTGTGTTTTCGTAGAAAGCTTTGTTTGGGAAGTGAGATTCCCAAAATAAGCAAACTTTGGACCTTTAGTGTTTAAAAACAGGGACATCCTTTGTTTTGAGTGTTACCAGCAATGATCCATTGCCCTGCATGAAAACATCCCTAAAAACACAGCCAGCCTTAAATCACCTAAATCCTGCACTTCCCTCTTCTTTAATGGGCATCTTTTTGTCAAAGTGCTGAATTATGTTGCTGAATGTATTTTTTATGTGTGTTTTGTGGCTCAGCGACTCTTTGCTTTTTAAAATCCCAACGTTTGTGCTACTTTTGAGTAGGAAATGGGCTGAAAAAGTCAAATCCCTTCCCACTGAGGTATTCCTGCCTTTTCTGCTATGGGCTTCCCCAAGTTAAACATCTCATTTCCAATATCCTGCTTTAGTGTTTGGTGTTTGACATGCAGGGAATGAGGCAGCTGAAAGCTCTGCTGCCTGGGATCGTTTATGGATAGGGAACAGAGGCAGCACGCTTTGATTTCCTGGGATTGTTTGCACATGTTTTCAGGATGTCCTTCTCCACTGCAGGTAAATCACATTTCTAATGTCATGGTGAACTTTTTATCTGCTTCAAAACTACTCCACTGTTGTTAACATTATATTTTCCTTCAGTCACCAGAGGACTGTGAGGAAATGTGGTTGCTCAAGAGCTGAATAACATTTTAGGTTGTGATCCCAACTGCACAGATTTTGCTGCTGAAATTTATTGAACCTTTCTATCAACTATCTTTGGACTTAAGGGCTAATTTTTCATGCCTGATTTGCACGTGCAGTTGCTGTGGCTGAGTCTGCAGTTGGGGTAAAAATCAGTGCAAACAGCACTGGTTGTCTGGACCGGTTTTTACACCTTTGATTGCTGTAACAACAAGTGGGAATTTGAGGAATTAAGGGAAAGAAATAGAGATGCCTGGCTTGGAAAATCTGCCTGATGCTTTAGGTCTCTGTAGTCTGAAATCTTCTCTGACTCTGCCCTGTTTAGCTTGTTACCTGTTTTCTGGGCTTTTCTCTGGAGCCATGTTCTTTCCTGGAAGGGAATGGTAAACCCTTTATGGCCATTCCTTATCACATTGATTAAATTATAATGTTTGTGATCAGTAGGTAGAATCATGGAATGGTTTGGATGGGAAGGCACCTTAAAGATGATCTCATTCCATGGGCAGGGACACCTTCCACTAGCCGAGGTTGCTCCAAACCCTGTCCAACCTGGCCTTGGACACTTCCAGGGATGGGGCAGCCACAACTTCTCTGGGCAACCTGTGCCAGGGCCTCCCCACCCTCTCAAGAAAGGATTTCTTCCCAATATGTAATCCAAACCTGCTCTCCATTTGAAGGTCTTTTCCTGCCTCCCTCAATAAAGCAATTTCTGGGATGTTTTATGTCACAGCTCTGGCTCATCATCTTCCTCATTCTGGGAGTATGAACATCTCACTGCACCTGATGATCTCTTGTCCCAGATAATTGATACTGCTTTTGATTTTTCCTTGAATTAAGTGGCATCCTGGAATATCCCATGGATTACACTGTAATAGTTAAAATTCCAAACCAGACAGCTTTTCCCTGAGAGTTTCCTCTGACTACACTTGATCAGTCACTTCCCTAACCAGGGCAGCACAACGTGAAAGTCATTAAAATGTACTTGTGGATGAAATATGGACTTTTTTTCCCCAAACTAACCACAGAGCACATGACTGTGTTTTATGTGGGACTCACAAGTGCTGTTGTACCTCCTGACAGCTGAGGGTGGGTGAAGAGTTAAAGCACAACTATTTTTATTGGCCATGCCTGCAAACATTTCTGACCCATTTCTCTGTGTAATGCACATTAGTAAGAGATCAGGCTGAGAAACGTGGGCTTGGGATTTACAATATGGAATGTGCTTTCCCTTTTGCTGACACCTATGGAAAGGGAACTGTTGCACAGCAGCAGATGGTAATTTTAGCCCATTTTCCTCCTTTCTTACTCCCACCCCCTTTTTGGAGACACAACAGGAGTTGTGAAGTTCTTGCTGTCACTTTAAGATGAGAAATCCTGGGGTCTTTGAGGCACTTTTGGGGCCAGTCTTTTTCCTCCTGTATATTCTCTCCTTTATTTCAACTGGCTTCTTAAACAGTTCTACAAAAAAACTCAGAGCATCAAAAATTCAACATATTTCAAAAATGATGCCACAAAAGGTACAGTTCTCCCCTTGGCTGTGTTAAGCTCAGTAACTGCAGATTTCACATTCTGAGGACTCTGGTTTCCTTTGTAATACAGAGGAAACTGTGAAGCTTTTAGCTTGTGCAAACCTGGAATTTTGTGGCTCCAGGCTTCAAATCATTTGTCTTGCAGTAGCAGAGCATGTCCTGTTCTATATATTCTATATACAACAGCTTAAGCAAGTACTTCACAGGATTAGGATCCCATTTGAGAGGAAGATTGAAAGCTCAGTAAGTGGAAAAGATTATTTTACTTTGCAAGGTATGAAAGGAACTGATACCAAAAGGAAAATAAGATTTTTAGAGACACTTCAAGCATTGTCATGTTGAGCAAAAGCTTCTGTTACAGCTTTGGCTGCTTTAACTGTGGGGATTGCACATCTGAATCTGAAAAGTTTAAGAGCACAGTTTTAGAGACTGTTAAAAATAGATCTGCTTGAATTCAGGGGTTTTGAACCTCATAGAATTATAGAAACCTAAAATGGTTTGGGTTGGAAGGGACCTTAAAGCTCATTTCGTTCCATGGGCAGGGACACCTTCCACTATTCCAGGTTGCTCCAAGACCCATCCAGCCTGGCCTTGGACACTTCCAGGGATGGGGCAGCCACAGCTTCTCTGGGCAACCTGTGCCAGGGCCTCACCACCCTCTGAGTAAGGAATTTCTCTCCCAATATCCCATCTAACCCTGCCCTCAGGCAGTTTAAAACCATTGTCCCTTGTCCTGGCACTGTGTGCAAAAAGTCCCCTCCCCATCCTCTCCCTCCTTCTTACCTGGGCAGACAGGGACTGGATTTTTCAAGTGGTTTTTTTCCTGCAGCCATGAGCATTAGGAATTTTTCATGGTATTGATGCTTTTAAGAAAATCCAAACCCCTCTGAAGCTCACACTGAAATGGCCACGGTCTGTAGGAACACAGGAGGACCTTAAACAGCTGTCACTGCTCTACAAGTTTCCTCCCCACTCTTAAAGGCATTTGTGCAGATGTCAAACCAAGTATTTCTTGTCATAATCGTTTGGCTCTCTCTGCCCCTGCTCTATCTGGGCTTCCCCTTCGGGTTCAGGGGCTGCACGTGGTGATAAACCTGGTTTGAGTTGGCAGCAGGGCTCAGTCTGGGTGAGCTTTGCTTCAAAACACTCAGCTCAGCTCCTGAGTCAGCGCTGTGTTTATGGAACACTTTGGCAACTTAACACCAAAGGCTCCAAAGTGCATCGTGTGGCTCTTGAAATGACTTCATTCCAGGAGTAACGTTCGCAGGAGGGTCTCATTTCGTGGTGTTTTTATTGGAGTCTGATCAATTCGGAGCTGAGCTTTAAAAGATTTTTATTATTTTTGTTTGTTTTAATAGGGGTTTTATATGGTCTCCTGCTTATCAGACTTATTGTGGGGCACTATCAGTGAGAAATAAAGCTGTCTCCAGTTTTGGCTTCAGAGGGCTGGATCCTCTGTCAGTGTTGCACAGCTTGGATGTAACAGGGCAGCTCCCATGGATGGAAGGGCAGATTGACAGACAGAACTGTGCATGTGTGATTACTGAACTTTGGGAATAAAGTTTGTTGGAATCACATCACTGTACAGCTTTGGGGGTCTTTGTGAGGTCACTGTATTCCTTTAGGCAATGTGGGCAGTTCTGAAATGTTCCTTTGTTCGCCTCGTGTGTGGGACTGGGTGTGTCATCTTGGAAATACAGGTTTAGGCTGATTTTTGCCTCTTTTCTTTGTAATTCCAGGCCACTTGTTCTACAAGTTTGGCATCACAGAGTCCGACTGGTACCGCATCAAACAGAGCATCGACTCCAAGTGCAGGACAGCGTGGAGGAGGAAGCAGAGGGGGCAGAGCCTGGCTGTGAAAAGCTTTTCCAGAAGAACACCTTCCTCATCCTCCTACAGTGGTTCAGGTAACAAACCAACATCCCCCCCCCAAAGCCAATCAAACCCCAACTGAAAGGAAAACTTGCAGTGATAATAAATTCGCTTTGTTTTTCATTATACCTCCATGTTAGTTTGAGTGTTTAGCCTCACTGAGATGCTGAGAACGTACAGTCACAGAATCATGGAATGGGTTGGGTTGGAAGGACCTTAAAGATCATCTTGCCCTGGGCAGGGACACCTTCCACTATCCCAGGTTGCTCCAAGCCCTGTCCAACCTGGCCTTTCCCACTTCCAGGGATGTGGCAGCCACAGCTCCTCTGGGCAACCTGTGCCAGGGCCTCACCACCCTCATAATAAACAATTTTTTTTCCTAATATCTCATCTAACCCTTCTCTCTTTCAGTTCCTCCACATGTGTTAACTAAAAAAAATGCAGCTTATACAGCTTTGTGCTCTCATATGTTTTATTTTCGCCATGCTCAGTTCTTTGAGTAGAAGATGAAAATGTTGCTGCAACTCTTGTTCCTCAGAGGAGTCAGTGGCTGAACCTTGCACATCAGTCAGTGGGACGTGCTAAAGGTTGTTCCTGAAGGATTTTCCTCTGAAGGAATTAAATCTGTTGTAGGTGATTCTATATTTCCATGTAGGTATGGAGGCAGGAATAATAATAACAACTGAAAAACCCTGACCCAAGAAGTGTTCTCAGAGGACATTTCTGGCTCCTGCTTTTAATATAAAGCAGCGTTATGGGACATTTGTACATTAGATATTAAAACCAGGGGTTTGGAAGGGAGCCCAAGGAAAAGGAAGGAAGTTTATTTGCCTGCATAAAATTTTTGGTTGCATGTTAACACTAACCACTGTATCTCATGCAAAGAAAGCCAAAATCTGCTTTCAATGGAAAATTTTATGTGCTGGAACAGGGAATCACATCCAAAATCCTCAAATTAAAACAACTAATCAACCTAATGATAACCATAAGCCTTATATGTTGATGGGATCTTTATTTGCAGTCTTTTAGCAATCAGTATTTTAGAATAAGTGGATATTAGGGGCCTGTGTTCATTAGACTGCACCCCTTGAGTGGTGTTGAGATTTATTATTAAAAACTATTATTTAATCTCCTGCTTTGGAGATTTGGAGACACCAGTGTAGAGATGGAAAACACATCTAGGCTCAGTGAGTTCCTGCCTTCAGAAGGCCATAAGATAAGTTTTGGTGGGTTCTTTTATTGTGGTTAAGCTGAAAACTCATTTTTCCCCTTAATTCCCCTAAATTAATTAGTGAGTAAAATATTCCATGAGTACAAGACCACCTGAATTAACTCCTGACCAACCTGGTCTAGTGGAAGGTGTCCCTGCCCATGGCAGAGGGTTGGAATGGGATGAGCTTTAAGGTCCTTTCAACACAAACTGTTGCAGGATTGTGGGATTTCAGCATGCTGCCTGAGAAGATGGGAGATGAGGTGGGTCTGCAAGAGCCACCTTGGAATTTTGGTGGCGTGCCTGTGGTCCAACAATCCCCAGGATTGTTTTTATGGCACCTGCATCTCTCCCTGGGCAGGGATCTCATCTCCCAAGTCCCCTAAAGAGCAAAGAGGTGGCTGCATGTCCTTGTAGGGATGTCTTTGGTCCTGATGATGCTGAAGGTCAGCTGAGGCATCTTGGCATGTCCTTGGCAGGGCTGTCCAGAAGTGCAGCCAAAAGTAGAGTCCAGGCAATAACAGGAGCAGCTGCCTTTGGTAACAGTGTGTGAAAATGTTCCCATGGAGTCAGAGGCTTTTGGTAATTTTCTTGAAAATATTGCTCTCCCTCAGAATGTCTTTGGCATCAATTTCTGGGAGGCTGGAAAGGTGGGAAAAACAGACTCACTTTATAAAAACAGAGCACTTTGCAGAATCAGGTGCTCCTTTGAAAAGTGAATTTGCAACCCAAACCCAAGCAGGAGTGGTGTTTCACCTGGAGAAAGAGGAGGAACAGGAGTGGGTTGAGAGGCTCAGTGAGGATATTGGGGAAAGAAATGGAAGAGAAAACGTAGATTCACACAGGTTTTAAAAGGTGGCATCACAGGGCTGTAATTTCACCTCTGTGTTCAGGTAACTCCAGGAACTGCTCAGATATTGCCTCTGTGGTTTGACATCCCTGGAACCCCTCAATGGAATTACAGCATCAGAATTCCCAGGCATCTGTTCCTGATTATCCCCCCTGTACAGCGGAGGGAGCAGAATTCCTGCTGCCAGCTCGTAGTAATATTTCACAGCTCTGAAGTAAAGGAGCTCTGTATTTCACAGTTATGACAACAGAGCTGTCAAATATGGCTTTGGAAAGTGTTCCATATGAACCCAGACAGTTTTTATGGGAGCATTTGTTTCAGGGGGCAGTTTAAGGTGAGCCTCGAACACTCTGAAATTCAGCTACTTGAGAAACTGCCTTTTCCACTGGTACAGCTTTAAAGTCCAACTTCCAGGTGCTCCTGGGCAGGTCTCCACCCAGCTGTGGTTGCTGCAGGAGAAAACCTGTGTCAGGTTTCACTGGGAAGGATGTGGGGATGTAGAGTTGTAGTTTTCTTGCATATTCTATTCAAAGAATCCCAGAATGGTTTGGTTTGGAAGGGACCTGAAAGCTCTTCCCATCCCAATTCCCTGCCACGGGCAGGGTCACTTTCCACTAGCCCAGGTGGCTCCAATCCTTGTCCAACCTGGCTTTGGACACTTCTGAAATACTCTCAAATCCATGTGGTCACTGCTGTGCTGGACATCCTCCCCTGGGAATTGGGAGACGTGGATTTTCAGAGCTGGTTTTTAGCAGCAATTATTAAAAAAAAAAAATTACAAATAGAGCAGGCTGAAGCTCAGCTGCCTCTGCCCTGACTTTGGTTTCTCTGGCTCTGAGGAATTTTGAGGATGATTGCCACCACCTCTTTGAGACAGTCAAAATCCATCTGGATTCAGTCCAAAGAAACTGGTTTTGATTGCCCATGGTTTGAGGAAGGACACTGGTTTAGAAGATCTCCAGAGGTCACTTCCAACCTCATCTATTTTGTGATTTTGGGATTTTTTAAAATGAATTATTACACACGTAGTAAATAATTCTGAATTATTACATCAGAAGAGGATTGTTCTTCAGCTTCACTCTCATGTACTTGTTGGCCATGTCAAAACTTTGAGGCTTTTCCTGCTTGTTGTGATTAACAATTTGAGCAGCACGTGGCTTTGATTTGAGTCACGGTCAAAATGGCAACAGATTTTCCTCTCTGCTCTGGTATCATATGGAAAAATTAACGGTACAAATGATACAGAAAAGCAGGAGGCTGAGCCCAGAGTCCTGATGGAGCCTTAGGAGGGCTTGGTGTTGAAATTCAACGATTGTGTTCGAGAGAAACAGATTTGCAAACAAGGACGTGTCTGAGTGAGGTGGCAGGAAAATACAAATGGATATTCCTTCTTTATCCTTCAGCCCCAAAGATACTGATTGAGGTTGTTCATGGTTAATTGTCACAGTAGCCACAAGATTTATGGGTTGCATCAAGCAGGCTTGTATGTATGGAGAACCTGGGTTTCCTTATTTTAGCTGGTTCTGCTGTTGCCTCTGGTTGGAGTTGAGGTGTTGATTGCGATGGTTGCTCTGCTCTTGGAGCCAACATTTCAGTACCTTATCTGTGTTTTCCTCATGTTTTCTCCAACCAGAGTGGCTGCCACGAGAATTTAACTGGATCTTCCTTTTCAAACCTCAGCAGTGTGTGGAGGGAGGGCCGCAGGAAACGAGGGGTTTGGGAGGAGGATTAATTGAAAAGTGCCTTCTTCCTTTCTTTTAATTTCTGTTCAGATTGTTCAAGCTGTTATCACAGTTTTCCATGTTGGAATTTTTAATTAGTTCTCTGACTTTGGGATTTATATGGAGATTTAGGCTGAAGTGCTCAGCCTGTGCTGAGGTGTCACACAGAAAAATGGATGTGCAGCCAAATCTTCAAAGGTTTTTTTACAACATTGGAGGCTTTTAGCCCTGGCTGAGTCAGGGGGAGATAATGGTTTACAGTGCCCAGGTTTATTTCTATTGTTCTAGGATGGGGTTTGTCCTGCTTTTTGGGTCTGAGGATTTCTAATCTATCCATTAACCTTTCCTTGCTGGGACTGCACAGCCAGAAAGCAAGGAGAGAAATCCTGGTTTGAACTGTGAGGCTGGGAGGCACTAGGAGAATAATTTATAGTTACAAACCACGAGGACACTGAGCAGGAATTCCCTCTGCCATAGAATCTGTCCCACCCACACCCATTTCCAAAATAATGCCAGTCCCTTCTCCCAGGGAACAAGTGACAGGACGAGAGGAAGCAGCCTCAAGTTGCTTCTAGGAAGTTAAAGTTGGATATCAGGAAAAATTTCTTCATGGAAAGGAAAGGTTTGTCCAGCATTGGAATAATCCACCCAGGGCAGTGGTGGAGTCCCCATCCCTGGAAGTGTTCAAAAACATGTGGATGTGGCACCTGGGGACATGGATGGTGGTGAACGTGGTGCTGTTGGTGGCACTTGGTGATCTTAAAGGTCTTTTCCAACCTGTGATTCTGGGAAAAATGAAAACCCAGGTGCTCAGCTGATAAATATGAAGTAGAACAGGAATGAATTAGGAAGGCCAAAGGTTTTGCCTCTGTCTTAAAACTGATTTTAGCTGAGAATTAAACACATATCCTTGAAATAGTTAAAGATTACCTTTGGCAAATCCAGCCTTGCTCAGCAGTGTCTGAGGAGGGTTGGCTTGGAGAATGGGACAGGAGAAACCACTTCAGTGGGGTCATCTGAGCAACTCTTGAGCACTGGGCTGAGAAGACACACTCAGCACACTCAGCCTCAATGTTCTTTGACTCATCAGCACAAGCAGCAAAGAAATGGAAAACATAAAAGAATCATGGAACTCCAGAATGGTTTGGGTTGGAAGGGTCCTTAAATCTCATCTCATTCCACCTCCTGCCGTGGGCAGGGCCACCTTCCACCACACCAGGGTCCAATTTCAACTTGAAAGAAAGGAGTATTCTGCAGTTGTATTTTGTTTTTCCTCTGTGTTGGAGTGGTCAGTGCAGCATCCTCCATACCATGGGTGTCTCCAAAGCTATTCCATCTAGCAGAGGGTATTTTGGGAATGCCATGGATAAGGTAGCACTAGAAAAGGTGTTTGGTTCATGTTGAACTTACCTCTTTGGAATTAGTGGAAGATTTCAGAGCAGGAGCTCAGCTGTGATTTCTCTGTGCCAGGGGTTCTCTAAGAGATCAAAATTGTAAATATGAGGCTCGGTGCTTTACAGGGCTGTGATTTATAAGTGCTGACACATCCTCTCTTCAAGCTGTGTGTGCTCCTCATGTTTGTGTTTGTTTTTAATGGGGAATGTTTAAAAAGGGATAAATATTCCTTTTGTCTGCTCCAAGATGTGGAGGGGAAAACAATACTCAGAAAGGATGTTTTGTTCTTAGACACTGGTGAGTCCTCTCTCTTCTTTCTTCCTAAGAACTAAAAACCACCAAAACATCCAACCAAATAAAGAAAAAAATCCCAACTGAGGTTGTTGCAGTGAAACCAAACTAGAATCTATTTATAGGTGACCACGTGAGAGGTACAGTGGGATTCCATTCAGGCTGTGGCTCCTCTTCCCACCTCTGAAAAGCACCATAATTTCTGGCTTATGAAGCAAAAAAATGACTTACAAATAAAGACTTTTGGATTTACAGTTAAAATCGTATTTCAATATGTGCATATAATATATATATTTATCTGCTGCAGCTCATTTTTCTTTGATACTCTTTGATTGCATAACTTAATCAGAATATAAATGCTCGTTATAAATGAAGGATTGAGTGTTTGGACACTGTGGTTTGGTAGGAGTTGAGTTCAGCTCAGCTCAGTTCAATAACACGGTGAGAGACTGGGAAGCACAATGGGAAGACAAAAGCAGGAGGGAGTGGATTTGTGGGAGCCCTGGAGAAGCAGCTGAATCACAGTGGCCTTTCTTAATCATTTGTAAAATAAAAAATACAGAAAATGAGAAGTAATGAAAATGGGAGAGAAAGGGAAAGACGGAGGCTTGGTAAAGATCCTTGTCCAGCCTGGAAGAGAGAAGGATCCAGGGAGATCTCAGAGCCCCTTCCAGTGCCTAAAGGGGCTCCAGGAGAGCTGGAGAGGGACTTTGGACAAGGGCCATGAAGGAGAGGACAGAGGGAATGGCTTCCCACTGCCAGAGGGCAGGATTAGATGGGATACTGGGAAGGAATTCTTCCCTGGGAGGGGGTGAGACCCTGGCACAGGTTGCCCAGAGCAGCTGTGGCTGCCCCATCCCTGAAAGTGTCCAAGGCCAGGTTGGACTGGGCTTTGGAGCAACCTGGGCTAGTGGAAGGTGTCCCTGCCCATGGAATGAGATGAGCTTTAAGGTGCCTTCCAACCCAAACCATCCTGGCATTCCATGAGTATCTGTTCCTCTCAGTGCCCATGACAAAGCCACTGGCAACAGAGCATCTGAATGGGAACAAATCCCATTTTTATTTGGTTGATGGGACAGGTTTTATACTCAGTCCAGGACTTTTTGGCTAACTGGGATTTGTTAATCCCATCCAGACTTCTGTACATCAAACTTCCATTGTACAGCAGTGCAGGAAATACTGGAATGGCACAGTAAGAACAAGATCATATTTAAGGAATTCTAAACATTCTCTAGTTACCTGCTCATCAAACATGAGGTATTAAAGGTGTGTGTCCAACAGGCAGCAAAAACATGGATTTCTTGTGTTTTCCTCAGTTCCTGCAGAAGTGCTGTGGTTGGAATTCTGTATTTCACATCATTAACACAATTAGAGCTTTCACAGAGACAAATCAGCCTTTGGAATTCCTGTGGAATTTGTAGCACATGCACATTTTCTGGTGAACATGCAGAAGAATATGAATATGAATATAAATAATGGTTAAATTTGTTTCCCATGGGGTTTAGGTGTGGATTGTTGTGTGGCCACTGGGATGGGATGTACACATGTAATAAAGGTGGATTTTTGTCTCTTTTTTCCAGAGGGATCCCAGAGTTCAGTGTCAGCTTCCAATGAGATCCAGCAGAACCAGCCCCAGGCCCTTCACTACGCCCTGGCCAACGCCCAGCAGGTCCAGATCCACCAGATAGGAGAGGATGGACAAGTCCAAGTAGTATGTCCTCAGCTTTTTCTAAATACTTCCATTTAAACCTTCTAATTTCTTGTAGACTTTGCTTCAGTTGCAATTTAATGTTTTATTTTTAAATAGTAACTCACCATCACTCAGGATTTTCAGTAAATAAACATTGGAGGCTTATGGGAAAAAAAAATGATTTGGCAAAACTCTTCCTGCAGGATTTGCTCACCTAATTATGGCAAATAAATGCACCTTCATTATTTTATAGAATTTACCTGTTTTCCTGCACTTGCCATAACCACCAGCAGCCCCATAAAGTGTAGGGTTTACACACCACGGTTGGTTTTAGCCATGAATTACACAACAGCAATGCATTTATTTATTTATTTATCTTGAAAACTGCATTCTCAGCTGGTTTTGGACATCTGTTGGCTGAACCTTTACATGTGTATTCATTTAGCTACGTGTATATAAGTAAAAGTTATAAATATTGACATTTTTTAAGCCTGAGACACAACTCGGGCTGTGATTATTTCTATATGTGGTTTCAGTGTCCTCTGAAAAAAAACCACCTTCACTTCAGTCCCTCTGACCCACAGTTTGATACAAGGACTGTTTGAAATTCAAACTTCAATTTAAATTCATTTAAAATTATTTTTTAAAAAGTGTCCTCGGTGAAATAATGCTCTTTCTGCAGGAACTGTGGGCATAAGTTCCATTTCCACTTCACTTTTGCCATAACTTTCCAGTATTATCCTGGGAATTCCCTTGTCTCTTGGCTTCCCTGTGGATTTTAAATCTTCTTGACTTCTCAGAGGATCTTTTTATGAGATATAATTGATGACTGTAAACCATTTTTCAAGTCTTGAAAGACAAGGTAGAAGGGAAAATTATATGAAATGCATGAATATAACAGACAAAATGGTTACATTTATAGGTGTAAGTGATGCAAATTTGCCTCATTAAAAGCTCTGGACTCATTAATGATCCTTTAAATTGCTTGTGGAATCCAGGAAAAATCTTCTGTGACCCAGAATCACTTTCTAAATGTCATAATTTAGACATATAGTGGAAACAGGAGAAAATGGCATTGTTTTTCCAGTTCTATGGAATAATACATTTAGATCAGGCTAAGAGTCATTAGTAATGTAGTAGTTATTTATAATATATATTAAAAAATCGCTATTAGAGAAGGACTGTCCCTGAGGGCCAGTTCTGTGTCTGCAAAAGAGGAGTGAGCAGGGTTTTTTTGGTCATAAAAAGGTGAATAAAATCACCTTCTCCCCATCCCTCCAGCCAGAAAGGATTCCTTATACTTAAACCCACTCTGAATGGATCTTCCAAATGCTCCAGGCTTTTTCCTGGGAGCCCTGAGAGCTCCACGTTAAGGAGGGGAAAGTGATTTTAATCTGCACACAAACTGGGCAGTGCTCTAATTTTTTATACAGCCCCTATTGTCAGAGTGAGACTTTCAGAGTGTTTTTTCTCCCTATAAATAGATGGTTTCCTTCCAAAGGAAATGAAACTGTTGGAAATAGAGGGATCTGTGTGTCTTTGAAAATCACATGCAATTGTTCTTGTGTTATAAAATCAGAAGGGCCTTTGACAGAATTCCAAATGATTATCTTTAATCTCATGCAGGCATATTAAAATGAACACAAAGCCTTAGAAACCCTCAAGGAGGTTATTTAGAATCCAATCTCAGGTAAATCACAGGAGCAAAGACTTGGCTGGGCTAGTCAGGATGCACAAGGGATTCCATCCACTCTTATCCCTGTTTGGATCAAAGGATGGGCTTGGTACCAGTCTGGAGTGGGGGCTGTGGTCAATAATATAAAGCATTAACATGATTAACACTATTAGGGCAGTAACTGTTCAAATTAAGGAATTCTTCTGAAATCCCAGCAGTTTGAGAGTCCTTGGCTTAGTCTGTGCTCCACTAGAACTGTGTGAGTGTTCCCAAATCTATGGATAATTAGATGCCTTTGAAAGCCTCACTCTTAGGGATATTTGTCTTGTTGGATCTTTTTTAAGAACTGACTTTGCAAGGTCTTTAAATTGGATTAATGTTTCAGCCACCAAGTCAGCCCCAAGCCTTGTGTGTCAGTCAAAAGCACAGATCCTTTGCACAACATTCACTGCATAAATGTTATTTATTATTGTGCCTGTTTTCTTCCCCTTAAGTGAAAATGAACCATTCTTTGCTCAAAGTCACTCTGCTTATGCTTTTCATAAAAGGAGGGGCAAATACAGTTGTACTTTATTTTTTACAGCTATTTTTAATGGTTTTCACTGAATGAACACTTTGCTTCTATACCTTAAGCTGTGCTGCTCCAAGGTAGTAGCTGCTTCCTCTAGTCCTGATTTTCCTCTGATGCTCCTTGGTGTTTTCTTTTGCTGTGGATCCCACAGGGCCATCTCCACATAGCCCAGGTGCCCCAGGGGGAGCAGGTCCAGATCACACAGGACAGTGAGGTGAGCAAAAGTTTGGGTGTCCTGGAGCACATTTGGGGCCCTGATTCCAAAACTGCACCCTCTGAAATCCGAGTGAAGTGAGAGGCTGTGGTGGAACCAGGATGAAATGTGCTTTAGGGTGGTAAATGCAGCCTGCTATTTATGTCTCTGTTTGTTTGGGTTTTTTTGGGTTTTTTTGGTGTGTTTTTTTTTGTGTTGTTGTTGTTGTTGTTTTGTTTCTTTTGGGGGGGGGGGGAGAGAGGGGAAAGGGGGTGGTTTTGTTTGTTTGGGGATTTGGGGGTTTTTATCCTCCTTGACCAGCTCTGTGTGTTCTGCACTAATGATTGTTGCATAAAGCTGATGGTCTTTGGAAATTTAATAGAGAATACTAGAGGAAATCAGTTTAGCTGCTTGCACTGCCATTAAAATGAAATTATTTTATTTAGGTTTATGAACTAAATGTGTCCAGAATAGTCAGTGCCTTTGCATGTGGGAACTGTTGAACAGGAGCTGGAGAAAATTCCAGCCACCATCTAGTAAAGAGATTTTGCAGAATCAACTTACCTTCATTACTGACCAACTAATTTGGCTCTGCAGTGTTTACACTCCTTAATTTTTTCCATAAAAATAGTTCAGTAGAATGGAAATGGATGAGTTAAGTCCTGAACCCCCCAATTTTGACTCAGGCAAACCAGCTCTCAAAGCCAGGTGGATTTGCTTGTGTGGGACTGCAATTACTGGTTATTTAAGAATATATAGATACTTCTGATTGCTAAAACTGCTGTTAGATTTCTGTGTTCTTTGTTTAAATAAAGAAGGCATAGAAAAATAAAGTTAAACAACAGTTTTAATCTCTATCATTTCTCTGTAGAAGTTTTTCCCCACTGTTAAGAGTATCTGAATGTGGGCTATTTTAATCCATTTCCAAAGTACCCAAATCACATCTCCTAAAACCACTTTGTGAAGGAATATTGTTAACACAGGCAGCTCTTGAAGAATAAATATTATCATAAATATTCTATAAATATTAGCGTTAAAGGCTTCTCCTTTGAAGAGCTTGTCTTGAGAGAAATAAAAAAGGATTAAAATACTCTGGGTCTGAAGGAATGCAAAATGTGCTACAAGAAAATTGAAGGAGTTTTGGGGTAAAAAAATCACTAAAAAAAAATTCTGATTCAGCAGCTCCTGTTGTGATTGATCCTGAGGTTCAGGCACCCCCTGTGTCCATTGGCTGGCTGTGTCTGTAAGACTTTCAAAGGCTGCATTTGAAAACATCTGGGCTTTAATTTATTCCAATGTACAGCTTCAAATGACAGCAGGAGCTGCCAGGAAGAGACACTGCCCAAAACATGCAAAGCAAAGAATTGGGATTTTTTTTTTTATAAATTATTATTTTTTTAATTATTTTTTAATTTCTAATTTTTTTCCCTCCAAGAAATCTGCTGTTTCACTGTTTGGGAAGCTGGTTTGCCTTAATCCAGTTGTGCTTTTGGAAAGGTGTCTCTGAGCATATGGAATAAAAACTTTGTTTTGTAAATATTTCCTTATTAGACTTCGGAGCTCCAGTTTCCTTTAAAATCCTTCCCATTATTGAGAATATTTTTGGGATAGATGTAATTCCTGTAATAGAATTGTTAGTCTTTGGTATTGAATTTTGATAAAACAACAAACAATTAAGTAAAGAACACCCCATGCATAAAAAAGTGTTAAATTCTAATTGTAGTTTAGTAAGGAGTTGACTTAAATTTGCAGTTTTATATAAATAAGGAAACACAAAAATTTTACCTCAGAAACAATACTGAGAAACTTAGCATAAAAATACATCATATAGTAGCTTCCAAAGAGCAAAATATGCTGGTGCTGAGACACTTCCCTGCTTTTGATCTGTTTATTCCCTGTGGGTGCAGAGCTTGACTATGGGATTGGAGCTGCATTGCCAAAATAACCCTGAGAACTGCCTAAATTAATAGGTTTGCTTAATATTGAAGCTGTTTATTAATAAGATGAGAAACAGACTTTTTCCAGCATAAAGCAACTTTTTAAATTCCCAGTTTTTGTTTATTGTCAATAAATGCTCTTTTTTTTTTTTTTTCCCAGGGAAACCTGCAGATACACCAAGTTCACGTGGGTCAGGATGGACAGGTAGGAACAGCACTGAGTTTAAGCAGCATTTCCTTTGGTCTTTAACGTTGCAGTTGGAATTATCCCCCATTGCAAGGGGCTGTTTTAAGGAGGAAAATCTGTTGAGATAAACAGCTTGCAAACATGATGACATGCACATGAAATATTTTAAATACAAAAAGTCTTCGTATTATTTCATCATTCCTGCAACATGTTTCATCCCTCTGTTTTTGTCCCTCCTTGTCTTTGGCCTCTCCTCCCCCTGCATTTAGGAACTGGATTGATTATGGTGTGTACAGTGTGTTCTTGTCTCTGTTCTCCACTATCCCCGTGGCCAGATGTGGATTCAGAACCCCACATTTATTGCTGATTTTTAAGCAGTTCTTTTTCATTACATGGAGTGTCCTGGGAGAAACAGATCTTTTCCCATCTGCTTTTGTTCTTGCTGATAAAATGGCTTTATTAGGTGCTTATTCACACGCGAGAGAAGAAAAAGCAGCTTTTACTTGGAGTGCTGAGTCACTAAAGGGCTAAATTAGCAGAATTCCCATGTCAGGTGGCAGCAAAATTGCTCCTATTTGATCTCAGACACACTTTCCTGCATGTTGAGCTGTCTCAAAATACCCACAGCACAAATCCTTCCCGTGAGAAGCTTTCAAACCGGGCCACTTGCTATGGATATTTTTGGTGCTGTTGAAGATGAATAAGTTGTGAGACATCTGGGGGGAACTCGAGGCCTGCCCTGCACTGAGCAGTCTGACATCAGCAGGGTTTGGAGCTCAGGGAAGCTCCCAACACTCGGAACTTTTGACCACATACAGGATTTGTGGAGGGGTTTAAAAAAAAAGCAAAACAAACCACTTTTAAGTCTTCTTTACTGAGGTTTTCATCAGCACTATTTTTGCAGAAGTGAGAGTGGGGAAGGTGATTTTTTCTGTGTGTCAGAACTTTTAGTTTAGTACTTACTGTTCTTTTTTCCTTCTTGGTGAAATGTTGCTGCCCAAATTGCACCTTCTTACAAGACAAATATTGGGCAGTTTTATGTCTCTCTGAGTGAGACACGTAGATTAAGTTGAATTTATTTTTAATTAAAACCTAATAGCTTTATTTTTCTCCTTGAAATACCTATACATGTGTAAATTGGCGTGCATATATCTGGATATGTGTGTGTTGTTAGAGTGTGTGAGAGCACAGCAGATAGGGAAGAAAACCATGATTAATTGCCCCTTTTTTGTTTAAATCAACATCATGTTATCCATATCTGTACTATCACACAGTACATATATTTGGGATAATCTTGGTTCTGCCTAAGTGGTTGTTGGCTGTACATGTGTATGTAGAAAATCACTTTAACATCCAATTTTTGTGGGTTTTTTAGATAACTGTGCTCTGAGCTCTGCTTTTAAACTTTCCCTGAAGAAACAAATTGTGAAGTGCTGGGTTTTTTTTCTTTATTTGCTGCACTCAGCTGCATTTTGTGTCTTGAGCATCACCAGCCAGGTATTGTCACACATCAACTGGTGGCTCTGAGAATTCCCAGGAATCCTCACACTCCTCCAAAAGTATTTGCTGGAAAATGATTATTTTTTCAGTGGACCATAAAATAGGAACAAGCAAATATTTAGGGGGTTTTTTAGCTCCCTTCTGCATTAATTACTGGAAGCTTCATCAGCAGTTTAGGCCCTGAAGTGGGCGAGCAGCACTCACATGATCCCTGTGCTGCACGAGCTCTGTGGCTTCTGCTCGTCAGCTGATCTTTGTTTATCTGAGCTCATAAAACTGCAAAGGAGAGGGAGTTAAACCAAACTCTGTTCGTGGTTGAAGAAGGGGAGTTGAAACTAAGCCGTTTTCCTTGGCACTGGGAGCAGGATAAGAGCACAAAAACCTGTCAGGGACCCAGGGCAGGGTCAGGACAGTCCAGTAGCTGTTCAGGACCTGGGATCAAAGAAAAACTCCTGTGGTTTTCCAACCTGTCCGTTATTTTTCAGGAGATTGGCTTTTCCTTGTGTGTTTTGAACTCCAGTGCACCAGCCAAGGGACTCGGAGGGATATTGATAACAAGGAATATTGTGGCACTTACTGAGTGTTTTAAGCAGATTAATATATATTTATCCATGGCACTAAATCTTAGCTTGGATATTAAATATTCCCCTTGAAAATTCATCTCCTGCTGCTGTTTTCCATGTGTTATGTGCACTGAGCAGGTGTTGTTGGGTGTTCCCTCTGCCCAGGTGAGCTTTGATCCTGCTGCTGATGCAGCTTTTCACTCTCAACCACGAGTGAAAGGTTTACAAGAAGCTGGGACTGCAAAGCAGAGATTTATAAACTCCGTGTGAACTAAGGCATAAAATGGCATTAATGTACCATGAAATTTTATCAGGAAAATCCCCAAGGTGACATAGATGTTCAGGTACTAAATCCTGGCTTCTCTGCACAATTCTGCCCTTTGATTTTAACTCCTCCCCCTCCTCCCCCTTTGTCTGTCCTGGTAGTTGCACTGAACTTAGATTTTATTTTTCTGGCATCACTGTCCATGGAATAATGAAATCACTCCAAAAAGAGCTCTGTCTACCTCCACATGTGTTCTATTAGCTGGGAGTTTCATATTTCAGTGCACGTTTAATAAAAATACCAAACTGCAAAAATAATTAGACTTCGTATTAACGAACGCTGGAAACCTCGGAGCGGTGGGAATTTTTTTGACTTTGCATTTGATCCTTATGAATTACCAGAAGTTTTCAGTGTGTGTCCTGGGCCAGGTGAGGTGTTCAGAGACAGGGATATAAAGAGGTAGAACAGGACAATTCCAAGGCCATTCCTTGATTCTGCATTTTAGACATTTTGTTCATCCTCCCAACCAGCGTTTCTCCAGTTTAGGCATTAATTAAAATGACACCAGGCAAATGGTCTTCAACTAATAGCCTTAGCTCTGGAATTGAAAAGTTAATGTACTTTAAAACCTCAAATAGGATTGTTCGTATTCCAGAGAGCTGACAATTTATCCTGCTGAAGGAATGAAAAATTAACAAGAATTGCAGCATTTAGTTCACTTGGAGCAGGATCTGTAGGTAAGGTAGAAAAAGCAGGAGAACCCAGGACAAAGGAGCATGTAGGAAAAAACCAATCAGTGTAAACTGCTTTTGTAGGATCCGTCTGTGTAGGAAATAAATGTCCAGAATTGGCATTTTATATAATTGTAGACACAAGTCTGTCCTAGGGAAGTTTGAGATCAAAGAGGTGCAGTGAGACCCCTGAGTAACTGCTGAGTTACAGGAACAGACAGAGGGAGAGGATCTTGTTCCTACAGCTTTTCCTGCTGTTTACTGAGGGATTTGAATGGAGCAGGGATTGTTTTATCTTCTCCTGACCTTCTGCTCTGAGCTTGATGCTCTGAGCTCTACGACAGCTCTGAGGGCTGGGAGGGTTTAGACTGTGGAGGAGGGAAAGCATCCTCGTGTGTGGAATGACTGGAGGAGAGCGGATCCATGACTGGGAAAGATATCCTTGGAAAGCTGCTGGTGATGGAGAAAATAGAGCAGAGTTGAGGGTGGGAGGTTGGGCCTGGAAGGTTGGGATAGAGAGATGGATGGATGAGCCAGAGTTTGTCTGTGCTGCCCTGGGGAGGAGCTGGAGCTGGGTCTGGATCTGATCCTGGTTAACCCCCCCAGAGCCTGTGGTGGAGCTCAGGAGGAGAAACAACCTCGTCACCTCAGTCTGAAACAGGGCTGGAGAAGGGGAAGAAATGGTTTGAAATGTTCACAAGGAAAAAAACCTATCCTGGTAATGCCACATAAAATCCAGTGAATCTTATTTGTGACTGCATCAAACTGAAATGAAAATAGGTTGGTTTGTCAAGGAAATCACAGATCCCAGAATCACTGAGGGTGGAAAAGGGCTCCAGGATCATCAAATCCAACCTGTGCTCGATCCCCACCTTGTCACCCAGCCCAGAGCACTGAGTGCCACATCCAGGCCTTCCTTGGACACTTCCAGGGATGGGGATTCCAAACCTGCCTTTGCAGCCCCTTCCAAATTCTCCACAAACTTTGGGACAGTCAAAACCAACGCCGACATCTGGGGTTTGTCTCTCTATTTACATCCCTGATCATTATTGAGACATTCACAACTTTCTGGTGAGGGCACCATGTTTTTTAAGGTCAAATCGAATCCATAACTCAGTTATAATTTTCATTTACACAAACAAAAATGTTGTTGACATTTCCACATTAACTTGGCTGCTGCTCTGTTTTGTTTGTGCATTTTCCAGATGTCATTTTTTTGGGAAAGAAACATATATTTTCTGAATATGCTTTTTGATTGCCTTTGGAAGAGATCCTGTAGTTTCTATCAATATTAACCACTTCAATAATAAAATGTTATCCAAGACAGAGAAAAGAATCATCTTCTGCAGTTTGTAATTTTCATATAATGCATTTAATTAAAAAATTCTAGATTTAAATATAGGAAAATTCTTTATTCAAGTTGCTCAGGCAATAATTAACACAATGTAGGAAGTTTTTTCCCTATCCCTGATTTATCAGCAGTAGAGGGCAGTAGAATTAAGATGATTCTGAGCTGTTTGCTGAGGCTGGAAGGAATGAGGAGCAAATTGAAGTAGGAGAAATGAACTGCTCCGAAGTCACCCCTGGAAAGTATTTTTTGTAGGGACAGGGATGGTCTGAGTGAGAGTCTTTGTGCTTGTGGGATTGGGAGAGAGAGGAAGGATTGGAAAGGCTTTGAGTTCTATTAATTCCAATAATTTTTGATTATTGGAATAACACAAACAGGAAAATGATTGTCAGAAGAAAAATAATCAAATTAAAACCACGATATCGTTCAGCTGGAACCTCAAAACTCCTTGATTGGATTTGGAAAAAAAGAAATTATTATTTCTGACTGAGACTTCCTCAAAAATTGTACTAAATTGTACTGAAGTCTTGCAGGTCTGAGCCTGTTTTTAGGAGCAAAAATTAAAAGAATAGTTTGGAAACAACATTTGCTTTGTGGAAATTTCAGGTAAA